GGGGCCCCTGAGGGGCCCCTGGGGGGGCCCCCAGCCGCCACACCGGACCAAAAGGGCGGCCCAAAGGGTCTTTAAGGGTTCGTCTTAATAGACCTGCAGCTGGGGCATTCCTCAGCCTGTTTCTTGGCTGTTCTTGTGTGCGCCAGTGCATGCAGAATGTGCGCATTGTTGCATGCGTTGCATATTTATAGGTGTCTATATACGTTTTTGCATGCACATTCTGATTTTAAAATGTTTAAAATGTGTGCTTTTATGTATTTATACTCTTTTGAATGAAAACAAAGAAATGCAGGGGTTTTGAAACATGCAGAGGCGAGGCAGGGGGTACGCGAAAGCGAAACGGGAGAAAGCTTGGCTCTTGCTCTTGTCTCCTACATTTGAATTCTTTCTATTACAATTTCCTCAAAATTGGAAAAGAAATTCAATTGAAAGCACAAGCGTTTGTTTAAAGACAGCTTCCGGCTGTTGCTGCTGCTGCAGCATCTGCTGCAGCTCGAATTCTGCGGAGCCTCAAGTGCTGCAGCAGAGCCGCTCTGTTTAAAGGCTGTTGCTTCCTCTTAGGCTGCGTAAATAGATTTACATTGAACTGGAAAGGAAAAAGTGGAAAATTAGAATGCAAAGTGGCTGCTTTCTTGGTTGGGCTGCAGCAAGCATGCTGACAGCCCCGAACAGGCACAAATGATTTGGCTCCTGCTGCTGGCGCCGCAGCTCTCTTCTGTCTCGGCCCAAAACCACTTGTTGCGTTCAGTTTCGTTTGAGTTTAAATAATTCAGCGGAAAATTAAACCTTTTAAGCCTTCCAGGAGCCGCAAAGCCTCGATCTAAGGAGCTGTTTGCGTCGGCGGCAGCTGCGTCCAGTTCCAGTCTGCAGCAGGAGCTGCTGCCGCGTTTTCTTCTCGCCGTGGCGAACCTCGAAACGGTGAAAATTGATAAAATAGACTTTCCGTTAGTCTTTTTAAAGCCAAAAGGCTCAGCTTTCCGGGGTGGCGGGGCCTGGGGCTTGCCCGCTGGCTGCATTAAACTTGAATTCAAGTTCAGTCGGATCCGCGTTTCCGGGCGCCTGCTGAAGATGCAAGACACCGAGGGCTCCGGCCTCTGGAACCTGGGGTACTTGTGGCTGCTGTGGGACTTGATAAAGCTTTTAATTGCCTTTTCTCCGCTGCTGGTCATCGCAGCAATCTTCGTGACCAACACAGAGAGCGGCGCCAGCCGGAACGAGAAGCCAGACTTCCAGCTGGACCCTGTGGAGTGACGACGGGCCATTATGCCGCAATTTAAACCTTTAATTCGCTTATTTAGCCTCCATTTTAACTTATTTAGCCATATAAATGCGCCAATGGAACAGCCGTTTCGGACTTTCCGCATTCCAAGCCCGTTCAAGTTGCCGAGTTTGCTGCTGCGGAAGCTGCTTCCCCGCTGCAGCATTTCCGGAATGTGCGGAGGAAGTGCAGCAGCTGCTTCGGCGCGTCGAATTAATTCATTAATTGAATCAATTGGATTAATGGAATGAGTGGAATTAATTGATTTATTGATTACTTGAATCAGTTGCACTAAGTGAATCAATTGGATGCGTGGATTATTGAACTGAAGGAAGAAGTTGAACGGGCTCGGCGCGCAGCTCTCCGCGATCTTGCAATTATAAGAATGGCTCAGCAGCAAACGTTTTGGACTTTTCTTCTTTTTCTTTTTCCGAAATTCAGAATTAATACGAAAAGAAATACCATTTCCAATGGCAACTGAGGCCGCATGCGTCTTGCTGCAGCGCGCTCTTTCTTGCTGCTGCATGCGCGAGAATTGCAGGGCCTGCACTTGCATGCAAAGGACTAAGCCAGGAATGAAGGGCTTTTTTCTTTCTTTTCTTTTCTCCAAAATGAAACAATTAATTAAAAGTGCAATTTGCACAAAAGCGACTCAAGGCGACCCTGCTGCCGCTGCAATTGGAATCGTCTGCTTCCTCCTTGCTGCTGCAGCAAAGCAGCTGCAGCAGCAGTTTCGCTGCTGCAGCACAGAACCTGCAGCAGCATTTTTCGCTGCTGCAGCAAAGCAGCTGCAGCAGCAGTTTAAGCTACTGCAGCGGAGAACCTGCAGCAGCAGTTTTCGCTGCTGCAGCGAAGCAGCTCACAGTGGGCTCTGGGGCTCCATTAAGTGGAAGCAAAAAAAGTGTTCGTTTGGAACAAAAAATAAAAACAAACCTTAATTTTAAAACAAATTAAATGTTTATCTTAAAACAAAAAGGAGAATAAATACCCATTAAATATTAATTTCAAAACATCAATTCCGAATTGTTCTCGTCAAGTTTTGCTGCTGCAGCAATTAAATAATAAATGAAGTCAAGTTCTGCTGCTGCAGCAGCAATTAAACAGTATAGAAAGTCAAGTTCTGCTGCTGCAGCAATTAAACAGTATAGAAAGTCAAGTTTTGCTGCTGCAGCAAATTGAACAGTAAATAAAGTCAAGTTCTGCTGCTGCAGCAATTAAATAATAAAGAATTCATCTGCTGCTGCAGCAAATTAAGTAATAAGTGACAGCAACATAATAATAAGTAATTCAAGTTCTGCTGCTGCACCAAACTAAATAATAAATCAATTGAACTTCTGCTGCTGCAGCAAATTAGAAATTCACAATTCATGTGTTGCTGCTGCAGCAATTAAATAGTCGATAAAGTTCTGCTACAGCAGCAATTAAATAATAAATAAAGTCGAGTTTGCTGCAGCAGCAAATTAAATTATAAATAAATACTTTTGATATAAAGCAGCCACAAAATGCACTTCAAGAAATTCTACTTCAAGACAAACTTCACAGAGTTACCTGCACGCAAAATATATGTATATAGATAATATATAATATGTAATAAATATATATAATACACATTATATAGTATAATATATACAAATCTATATATATATATATATATTAACTTTATTGTATTACATTATGTATTTACTAAAGATATATATAGATTATATGTAATATAATATATATTGTATTACATTACATATTTACTAAATATATAAAAAAATAATATATATGTAATATAATATATAGTGTACTATATATATTATACTGCATTTACTTCATTGTATTACATTACACATATACTATACTATGTTACATTTATGAATATATTTTATATAATAATAATGAATATATAATAATATATATACATATATAATATATATAGTGATATATATAATATATATAACTATATATATATCATATATATAGTTATATATATATATATTGTATATATTTTATATATTATTATATATATTTATATATTTGTATATATGCATGCAATGACATCTATCACAATATACTTTTAATGCAAATTCAAATGCGCGTAACTACAAAGTAATACCACACGAATACATATAAACTTTATAAATATAAACTTTATTAAAACAAATTATTATTATAAACTTTATTATAACACATTATTATAAACTTTATTATGACACATTAGTATTTATATGTATTTAATAAGGTACTTTTACTTTCGTACTTCAATACCTTTATAAATACATATATATATATATATATATATATGTATATATGTATATATATATATAATTTATATATACAGAGATACATATATATGTATATTTTTTGTGTAATACATATTATATATAGATACATAAATACATATATATATATATATACGTATATATGTATATATATATATATATGTATATACATTGCTGTATATGTATAGTTTAGTATCCAAAGTATAAACGCATTTGTGGTGCATTTTAATATTTTATGTAAACTCCTACCAAGCAGACGTACTATATAATATATATATATATATTTACTTTGTCGTACTACAGTATATATATATATATATAGAAAATATATAATATGTAATACAATATATAATATATGTAGTAAAATATATATATATATATAGTAGTATCCACATATACATTTACATTGCCGCACTCCAGTACATGTTTACTAAATATAAATATTATAGATAATAGTTAATATATAACGTACTGTACTATTGCAAAACAAAAAAGTCACAAAGCATATTTCCAAAAATAGCAGCAAAAGGGCGCATGCAGCAGCAGCAAAATGCAAGCACGCAGCGCACGCAGCGCATGCAGCAGCAAGAAGGTGGATGGAGGGAAGAAGTGCAAGCAGCAGCAACAAAATGCGTGCAAGTAGCGCACGCAGCATAAGAAAGTGCAGGCAGCAGCAAGAGAGTGCACACAGCAGCATGAGTTCCTGCAGCAGCAACGAAGTGCATGCAGCAGCAGCAGGGCGGATACAGCGAATCGCATGCAGCCCCGTTTCGCCTGCGATTCGGAAGAACTGGACTAAATGGGCGGAAAGCGCAATTTGGTTTGCAAGACTTCTGCAGCCAATTTCGGAGCTAAAAACGGAGAGGCAAAGAAACTAGGACTGCGGGGTGTGGGCCGTCTGAAAACCCCCAGGGAAAAGCCGCGAACTGCACACTGCTCGCCGCAACTGTTGCTAATCGTCTGCGGCAACTGCTGCAACTAAATGGGGTCCGGGGAGTGGACAAGGGAAGGAAAGAGAAGAATAATATAATGTAAATAGGTTTCTTGATGTTGCACTAGGGGCGCTACAGCCAGCTATTCCGACGCGCCCGTGTCCGCTCCGCCCGCCGCAGCCTCTGTCTGCAGCCGCTGCAGCTTGCAAAAAACTTTACAGAGCGCAGGAAGAAGAATAGGACTAAACAACACCACCAAAACACAACGACACTGATGATAACAACAAGAAGAGAGGGCGCAGCCGCAGGGCAGGGCCCCAGGAACGGCAGGCCGCTGCAAACGGGGCTGCGTTTCGGCGGGCGGGGCGTACGTACAGCGGGCGCGGGGGCCGGGCGGGGAAGGAAGCGCAGGGCGTCAGTCGACCTCCTCGACGGTGGGCCCCCCGGGGGCCCCCGCGGCGGGGGCCCCCCCGGCGGCGCCGGGGACCCCCCCGGCAGCGCCGGGGGCCCCCCCCGCGGCGCCGGCGGCGGCCTGGTAAACCTTGGCGACGACGGGCGTGCAAACCGCCTCGACCTCCTTCTGCTTGGCCTCGAACTCCTCGCGCTCCGCAAGCTGGTTCTTGTCGAGCCAGTCGAGCGCGCGCTGAATGGCGGCGGAGGCAGCCTCGCGGTCCTCGGGCGCGAGGCGCTCGCGCAGCTTCTCGTCGTCCAGCGTGCCGCGCATGGAGTAGCAGTAGTTCTCGAGGGCGTTTCTGGCCTCGACGCGCTGGCGGTTGGCCTCGTCCTCGGCGCGGTACTTCTCGGCCTCAGCGACCATGCGGTCGATCTCGGCCTGGCTGAGGCGGCCCTTGTCGTTGGTGATGGTGATCTGGTTGGACTTGCCGGTGTTCTTCTCGGTGGCGGTGACGTTCATGATGCCGTTGGCGTCGATGTCGAAGGTGACCTCGATCTGCGGGACGCCGCGGGGCGCGGGGGGGATGCCGTCGAGGTGGAACTTGCCGAGCAAGTTGTTGTCCTTGGTCATGGCGCGCTCGCCCTCGAAGACCTGGATGAGGACGCCGGGCTGGTTGTCGGCGTAGGTGGTGAAGACCTGGGACTTCTTGGTGGGGATGGTGGTGTTTCTTTCGATCAGCTTGGTCATGACGCCGCCCGCGGTCTCGAGCCCGAGCGACAGCGGCGCCACGTCCAGCAGCAGCAGGTCCTGCACCTGGCTGCTGTTCACGCCCTTGAGGATTGCGGCCTGCACCGCCGCGCCGTAGGCCACGGCCTCGTCGGGGTTGATCGACCTGCACGGCTCCTTGCCGTTGAAGAACTCCTGGATCAGCTGCTGGATCTTGGGGATGCGCGTGCTGCCGCCCACCAGCACCACCTCGTGCACGCTCCGCTTGTCGATCCCGCTGTCCTTCAGCACCTTCTCCACCGGCACCAGGCTGTTGCGGAAGTAGTCCATGCACAGCTCTTCGAAGCGCGCCCGCGACAGCGCCACGGAGTAGTCGATGCCCTCGAACAGCGAGTCGATTTCGATTGTCGCCTGCGTGCTGCTGCTCAGCGTCCGCTTCGCGCGTTCGCACTGCGTCCGCAGCCGCCGCAGCGCCCTGCTGTTGCTGCTCGGGTCTTTGCTGCGGTTCTTCCGCTTGAAGTCCTGCACGCAGAAGTCCACCAGCCGGTTGTCGAAGTCCTCGCCCCCCAGGTGCGTGTCCCCCGCCGTCGCCTTCACTTCGAAGATCCCGTCTTCGATCGTCAGCAGCGACACGTCGAACGTCCCGCCCCCCATGTCGAATATCAGCACGTTCATCTCCCCGTGGCCCTTCTTGTCCAGCCCGTACGCGATCGCCGCTGCGGTTGGTTCGTTAATGATGCGCAGCACGTTCAGCCCTGCGATCGTTCCCGCGTCCTTCGTCGCCTGTCGCTGGCTGTCGTTGAAGTACGCCGGCACCGTGATCACCGCCTCCTTCACCTCCTTTCCGATGAACGCCTCCGCGATTTCCTTCATCTTCATCAGCACCATCGCCGATATCTCCTCCGGGTGGAACGTCTTCTTGCTGCCCTGGTAACTCACTTCGATCAGCGGCTTCCCCGCAGGCCCCGCCTTCACCGTGAACGGCCAGTGCTTCATGTCCGCCTGCACCGCGGGGTCGTCGAACTTCCGCCCGATCAGCCGCTTCGCGTCGAAGACCGTGTTCTCCGGGTTCCGCGCCACCTGGTTCTTCGCCGCGTCTCCCACCAGCCGCTCCGTGTCCGTAAACGCCACGTAAGACGGCGTCGTCCGGTTTCCCTGGTCGTTCGCGATGATTTCCACGCCGTCGTTCTTCCACACGCCCACGCACGAGTACGTGGTGCCCAGGTCGATGCCCACCGCCGGAGCCTCCGCCATTCTCCCGATCCGCTGCAGACTTTCCTTTAATTCCCCGTTTCCAACTGCTTTCCCCAAAAAAACCCAAAAGCCGCCCGCAAATCGCCACGAATCGCCCACGCACGCCACGCCGCTGCCGCGCCACGAAACCCGCTGTACGTACACCCCGCCGACAAACCGTGCAACTCGCAAACTTCTTCCGACACACGAAACGTCCAAAGTTTCAATTCTAATTGCAAACGCTGCAGACAAAAGCACCTCCAAACTCTCCCGCATTCCCCCCGCAGCAGCTCTCCAGAGGGGAGGCCGCAGTGTTACCTGCTGCCGCGGGGCACTCCCGCCGCTGCTGCACCTGCTTCCCCGCCACGATCTTCCTTTTATTTAGTTCCTTTTCCCCTTCCCCACTTTGTTTTCTTTTTGCACTCTTACCCCCATTTTAAACTGCTTATTTCGCCGCCAGTTTTAGCCCAAACCCCCACCCCCACACCCAAACCCCGCGCGCAACCCGCAGCAGCCCAGTCGCCCGCAACCGCTGCTGCTTTCCACCGCCCCAAACCCCAAACCCTAAAAACGAGTATATCAATCCCCACTAACCCCCTATTCATAAATTGTGCACTTCCTTCATGTCTCCCCTTAACCGCCACTCCCAAACACCTCCCCCCACCTCCCTCCACATATCCCCCGCCTGCTTCGCCACCACTGTGTGCAGCAGCAGCAGCAGCAGCAGCAGCAGCAGCAGCAGCAGCAGCCGTTACAGCAGCAGCAACCGCAGCAGCAGCTGCTCCTCCTGCTCCTTTAAGCCCTTCCCCGTCGTGTCTTTGCTCCCAAATTCAGTTCTGTCTTCCACTTCCCAACCCGGGGCCCCACATCCAGCGAAGCTGCTGCCAAAAGCGGCACTTTGCTGCTGCTGCTGCTGCTGCTCTTCTGCTGTCTGCTGCTGCGGGGCATTTTGCTGCTTCAAATCCCCTACTTAATTCCCTGCTGCTTCGCCTTTCCAAAACCCCGCAACTAAACCCTGCTGCTGAAGCAGCAGCAGCGAAGCAGCAGCAAACTCCCCGCAGCAGCGGCAAACGCTGCTGCTCCTGCTGCTAACAATAGTAATAATAATCTGTCTTTTTGCTGCTTTTTAATTAGTTGCTCTTTATTCTTTTCAATTTCCTTCGAATTGCTGCTGCTGCTCCCCCACAATTGCTTCTTCCCTCTCCGGCGTTTGCTCTGCACACCCACGCACACACTTCTTTCCTCCTCTCAAATATCAAAACAAATAAAACAAATAAATAAGTTTAATAAATTAAATCGATTCAATATTTCCGTTTAATTAAATTAATTAAAACAATTAAAACAAATCAATCCATTTTGGCATTTAGGTTCCAAATGGGGAAGTTCCTTCTGCATTGAAACAACAACAAAAGCCTGCCTCACTTGGGTTGTCTTTATTTGTAAACCCGAGCAAACCCTAAACCCTAAACCCTCGCCTTTCTTCTACGGGAGTTCTTGCATGCGGTAAAAAAGCTGGAGGCGCAAATTAAGTGCAAATGGGGAGTTTTGGACATTCCGTTTTACGGTTTTTAAATTACATTCAAAGGAAGAAACGTTCTAATTAAAGTTCTACAGAAAAAGATTCGAATTAACTTCAACAAATAAAAAGCTCTGCACACTGGTGCTGAGGCTGTACATACACCTCGGGTGTACGTACACCTCATATTTGCCAACAGGGTGTACTCCGACCTATTGGTCCGACAATTCAGAAGAAATGCATTTTATACATTTGAAATGGCGCAGTTTACAGTATTATTGCGCATTTGTGTAATTTGTTTCAACAGAAGTAGAATAAAAGTTGCATCCATGCGCTTTCGAGGATTGCTTTCCAATTTCTCAGCTGTACGTACACCGGGGAGGCACTTTAAAAGCCTCTTTCTGCATTTAAAAGTCTTCTATTTGCATTCCTGAGAAGAAAGGAAAAGAATGGCATATTAAGCATTAAAAACACAAAAAAGAAAACATTTTGAATAGTGAGTTGCCCTTTGAATTATTTTCTGCTGAACGCTCAAGGCCGCTGCCGTTTACAAACAGCTCCTGTAGACACCTTCAGGTGTATCTGCAGCTTTCTTCGCGCGCTTTTCCAGAAAAATTTTCCCCTTAAAAAAAGCAAGGATTAGATTAAATGACTTGTTTACTTTTCAAAAGAATAACTCAGGAACATCTTATTTTTATTTCTGCATGTTCTGTTTGTGTTTATTTCGTTTGTACCAGATATTCTGCATGCGTTCATACACATGGGGTGTATGTACACCGGGAAAGGTACAGAGGTAAACACTCGGCTGTCTATACACCAGATTACACACATGTCTGCAGACGTAGATGTGTAAAAATAAATGTTTAAATATTTAAATGTTTAAATAGATATAATCTTTGGATATATAGAAGTAAATACATAAACGCAAAAGATATATTTCTCTTTCAAATATACTTTTGTAAATGCAAATCCACATCACTTCGTGTAGTGTACAAACGCACACACAATTGCTTTTCTGCATAAAAGGGCCCAACAAATGAATAATAAATAAATAAATAAATAGATAATAAATGAGTTAATCAGTAGTGAATGATAAACACACAAATAAATGGCAAATAGATAAACAATAAGTGTGTGTGCTGTGTAGGTACACCGTAGATACACCCCAGATCTTGAATCTGTCAAAGAAGTGTTTTAATGGAGCCTTATTTGCCGCAATTGACAGACTTTGTTGAATTTTAATTAAAATAGATTTAAATGGAATTAAATGGAACTAAATAGATTTATTTGAAAGTCCAAAAGGCAGAAAAGTTCTGCGCACATCGTATCGCCCACGGGGTGTACATACAGCTCCTCTGCGCCTCATTTTGCAGAAAGGAGCGGAAAAAAAGCGAAATAGGAAATAAATAAATAAATAAATAATTTAAATCAAAGTCTGGGGCCTTAATTCCGAAAAAGAAACTCTTCTTCCCCTCAAATTGGAAAGAATTGCGTTTTCTTGAACCGCGCTTTTCTCGAGGCGTCTTCGCCTCCTTAAGGCATTTAAGTGCAAATTAAGATTTAGAACAAACAAAAATACAAAAAAGAATCAAAACGACTCATTTGTTATTAAAGATATTTCTTCTTCTTTCAAAGAATCGGAGAAAAATGCAAAAGAGACGAAAAAGAATTCAGAACGAGAAACGCAAAACCCAAAAAGAGTCATATATCCAGTCCAAGTGAATAACGTGTCCTGTTTCGGTTTTTTATCTTTCTTCATTTTTTTGATCTTTTTTTGACTTCTTGTCCCTTTTTGTTCCTTTTTGACTTTCTCTGTCCCATTTTTGTTTTTTCTTTGTTTGCTTTGATCCAGTTTTATCCATTTTTGCCCTATTTGTGAAATTTTTCTCTTTTTTAATCTCTTTCTGGCCTATTTTTGTCCCTTTTTGATTCTTTTCGTGTCTCTTTTTTTAATCTTTTTTGTCGCTTTTCGACCTTTTGACCCCTTCTGGATTCTCTTTTTGTCCCTTCTGTTTTAACTTCTCCATTTCATCTCTTTTTGGCTCTTTTCATTTTTTGCTTCTTTTGTGTGGGAATTTTGGCAGAAAAACCAAAAAATGTTTCCTTTATTCTTCTCCAGGACATTTAATTTGCAAAAAATGTTTATTTAAATTCAAAATGCAAAAAAATGGATCAAAAAGAACTTCTGAAAACGCATTTGCAAAAAACAGAAAAAACGCAATAACCACCTGTACGTACACCTCAACGTGTTCAAAATGCTCGCAAAGTCAAATGCAGACGAAGATGGAAAATTAAATAATAAATAAATAAATAAATAATAAATAAATAAATAAACAATAAATAAATAAATAAATGATACTAAATAAACAAATGCATAATTAATGAATGCTAAATAAATAAAAATAGATGAAAGAAAGAAAAGCGAAAAGAAAGATAAAATGAAACAAATGAAGGAGAAACAAACAAACAAAATAAATAAGTAAATAAATAATAGCAATCGAATACATAAACAAATAGAAAGGGTTTAGGGTTTAGGGTTTCTAGAACCCCTTCGGCCCCTTCGGGCTCTTTCTTTTGGCTGAGCTGCTCTTTAACTCTCTCCTTTCTTTTATCTAATTGTTTTAATTATCTATTTAATTAATTATTCATTATTTAATTATTTTATTTATTTAATTATTTTATTTATTTGTTTTATTTAATTAATTGTTTCATCATTTAGTTAC